GTCTGTTCGTATTCTTTAGTTGACTTGATAAGAATTTATTTGAATGCTATCTTGCATTTATGAGACTAATTCAATGGCATCGTTCGCTTATCGGGTAAATTAAGTGTGTTTTGTTCAGTACTAATCAACTTTGGTTTGAGTATTCGGTGAAGAACACTCGTTCAGTTATTTTAGTTCGTATTTCTTTTGGATTCATTGGCAAAATTTGATTGTGATTGTGCTGATTGATTGAATGATCGATGAATTGTATTGAAAACAATTTAGTGGTTTTTCAGGAACCAAGTCGAGATTTCAGTGAACAATACCAAAACGATTTGTTGGATCGAACACATGAAGCGTTTGACTTTTTACGAATGGATAATACGATTGGTGGCGAGATGATTTGGAATTTTGCGGATTTTATGACAGCTCAAGGTGAGCTGAAGGGGAATTTCGATAGGACTGAAAAGTTGAAGACTGAAAATGAATTTGAAGGCTTCAGTGTGAAATTTCCGTTTCTTTACCCAATTCCGAACAGTCAGTGCGTGAAAATTCTGACGAGAATATTTGGAAACTTAAGATATGGTGTAATTCAGGTGTAACGCGAGCCGTCGGGAACCACAAAGGGGTACTGACCAGGACTAGACAACCCAAAATGGCAGCATATACGATGAAACGACGATATGAAAGACTGGCACGACAAGAACGCATTTTTGCTTTGCAGCAAAGTAATACGATGAAACAAGACTGGAGTAGTCATCTGCTGGCTCCTTCAACAAGCACCACTTGGCCGACGACAGATGCGACGAATATTGTAGAAGGGCTCGAAAATGAAGAAGATTTAGTTACTACAGATAGAAGTATAAGTGAGGACGCGGATTTGAGTGGAGATACGGGTAGAGGTGTTGGGTTGGATATGGCTAGAGGCAGGGAAACGGGCACGGGATCGGAAGATACGGGTGTTTTATAGGGTTTGTTTTAGTGCTGATACCCACCCATATACAAGTGTTTCATGTCTATTGAAGAAAGCTTTTGCATTGTGCATGAATATTGTTGATATGAAAATGGATGGATTGATCAAGTGAACAATTTGATCGATCTCGATTGATTTTTGAATCTTACTTCTAGAATGAGGATTTATAGAAATTTACGATAATGATAAGGAAATGAAGCTGAATTCAAGAAATCAAGAAACAGATGCGTTTTGTCACGCTTCAGGAGATATTTGTATGCATGTATATAGCCGTATTTCGCTTGTTTTCTTATTTGTATAAACATTCACTATTGGTCGTTTGTATTGACGAAATTTATGAAAACATTCAACTCAGATTGTTCATTTCTGCACAATACTTTCAACGCATTCACTGTGAAGTGAAACGCTAGAGAATCTTACGAAGATGAATAAGGTTATTTAAGGTGTTCAAACGGACGGAAAACATTTTTTTCAAAAAAAAGTGAAACGGTTTCTGATAGAGATTTCGTTTCTGATAGTAAATAGTCATTCGTTGATACTGGTTTCATTGTACCATTGAAATGTGCCGTAATGTGTGCGTAGCTGTACCCGTAGTTTGATGACATTACTTATTTCGGTGGCACAAAACTTCTTAGAAATATTTCGCATAATTTGTAAAGTGATAACGGATTCTGATAAGTGATAAGTGATTGTTATTCCTCGGCGAAATGCTTTTCGGAAGAAAATTGTGCGTTTTTGAGTAAGTTTATCGAGCGATTTGGCGTGGCAACTCATGACCTGTAGAGTAGCATTGAAATTATG